ACAATCACAAAGACCAAAGTAAAGACTGGAGAATTCTTCATACTCACATGCCACTGCGAACAGAGCCAGAAGAATGAAAGCCTTCATGGTGTCTCTCAGCCTGAGCCTCGGTGTCAGCTCAGCTCCACTGCTGTCCTTTTATGCCTCTGCAGACCTTCTACTATCGTATAGGCCCAGGGACACCTGCTCACTTTCTCCTCTTATCTCATGTTTCACATGTGAAAACACATCTGCGATCAAACACATCTGCAATCAAACCCAGGACACAGGCAGAGTCACGTATACGCGGAAAATGTTAGGAAAATGTATCTTATTCAATCTAGCTGTAGAAATGCTTTACGTTGTAATTAAGAAATGCAGCATTCTATGTCTTGAATCATTGATTTTGCCTTTGCTGTCGTCCTGTCTGTGGAGCAAATGTTTCAGGGAAACTTAAACTATTACAACATGGGAAATCACTGAAATCTGTAGGTCGGACAGGAGAGATATTTAATAGTGTTTTTCTTAAATAATCTTTTTTTTAAAAGCTAAAAGCCTCCCAGCTTTGAAAACTAAATATATAGTGAAATAGAGGTATTTAACCTTGTTTATGTTGAACCCTATAAAAGGAGATTGTCTCAATTTAAAACCCAAACTCCTAACATCTAAATAACATGTTATGTGGACAAAGGTTAAAAACAACAAAGTAAAAACAGATATACCTTTAATCAGGACTAGTTTCAAAAACATTCAGAAGGTTTATTAAATGTAAATAGTAAGAGTCAGTGAATTCATGTGTTTTGAAGCTTTTTTTTCAAAAAGTTAAATTTTTACATGAATCTCACATTAATGTGTACATTGAATGTGTGGCCTGATTTTTTTTTTAATCAGAATTGGTAACCTCTTGCACACTACCAAATGTTGTGATTTTCTCTTTATAATTATTTTTAAATTAATTTCTATTCATTTTTTAACAAAAGTAGTAGATTAATAAATACATTTTAAATATTTTATAAATATTTGTTAATAGTTTGAAATTATATCTACACTACTAATATGTTTTATTTGGTAATATAATACCGTATTTGTGAAATTTTCTTTCTTAAAAGGATTGTACAGCTATTGATGTTCTACTGATAACTGTTGATTGTAATGAATACTTTTAAAAATATTGTTTTATATTTTTCATACTTGCAAATAATATCTACAGCACCATTATATGTTATTAGATATAATATAATAATGATCTAATCTTGTGACCTTATTCTAAATATTTTCAAATAGCTATACATTGTTCAAATAATACATTTTATTAAATAATTGGTTAATATTCTCAACACATTTTAATTGTATTTTTAAGGTCATTATATTTCATCTGATATTATGTATTACTTTATAAATGGCATTATATTTGTCATTAAATGCCTATTGCAGGGGAAAAAACATGTTTTTATTCACATATTCATTGACTTCAGAGAAGTGTTAACTTCACTGAGAGCTAAGGGTTTTTAATATCTCATCTTTGAAGGAATGTTTTATAATTCTACATGTTTGTATCATTAGAGTTGATGTTTATACACTTCCATTCTATTCCACAGTGGCTGGTAGTTACCTGAACATGAACACTTGACCTAATGGCAAGTATGAAGATCTGACTACCAGGTACTGTAATTATAAAGACCAAAGAGTAAAATGAAGATAAAACATTTTGAAGTGAATGTTTTGTAAACCATCTTTATTTTTCATTTTACACAGTGTCGAAGTGTGCACATGACATGATGTTTTTTTGTCTTCTCTTGCAGCACACAGGAATCCCACCACTAGTCATTTAGTTGGAGGACATGGTGCTGCGAATCCAGGTGGTGTATCTGCAGACCTTGGCGTAGACTCCAGGCTTGTTCCTCTGGGCACAGCCGTAGCCCCAGGACACCACACCCTGCAGCTGACCGCTGCAGACCACGGGGCCACCAGAGTCACCCTGAGACAGGACACAGACAGAATACAAGATGTCAGCAGAGGTGTCTTTAGGTTTAGAGATTTCATCTTGAAGAAACAAGTGAAGAGGAGTTCATCTGTTACCTGGCAGGAGTCCTTGCCTCCCTCCAGGAATCCAGCACAGAACATGTTGGAGGTGATCTGTCCAGGGTAGGAGTTCCTGCAGCTGGTGTCGCTGAGGATGGGGGCATCCAGACACCTCAGACGGTCAGGGTAGTTGCCTGTGGAAGAAAGTACCCGTTACAAATATTCACACGGTATCATGTACTCAGAGTTTAATGGTTGTACTTCACTGACTTCCAGAGCTGCTCATGTTGCCCCATCCAGAGATCAGACACGTGGTTCCAGAGTTAGCGCAGCCAGAGGGCAGGGACACGGTGCGGACGTAGCTGTTCAGGGTGGCGGGGTTGCTCAGCTTGATCAGCATGATGTCATTGTCCAGGTTACGGCTGTTGTAGTTGGGATGACGGATGATCTTAGCAGAGTTGATGAACTGCTCGGTGCCCTCGTTCACTTCAATGTTGTGCTCACCAAGACGAACCTGGATACGGCTGGAGGAAACGAAGCATTTGTACAGAGGTGGTTATTTCAACAGATCTTAAACAAATGTCTGTAAAGACGTTACTGTAGTTCTGAGTGAAATAACCAATGTGCCAACTTACGACTTGTAGCAGTGAGCAGCAGACACCACCCATGTGCTGGAGATCAGGGAGCCTCCACAGAAGTGGTAGCCAGCGTTCAGAGAAACCTGGTAGGGAACAGAGTTCTTCCTGCACTCATAACCTCCAACAATCTTGTCGTCCTCATCATTGAGGGGAGCAGCATCTGACAAAAGATAAATCACAATTTAAAGTCTTAAAGGTGGCGACAATCACAAAGACCAAAGTAAAGACTGGAGAATTCTTCATACTCACATGCCACTGCGAACAGAGCCAGAAGAATGAAAGCCTTCATGGTGTCTCTCAGCCTGAGCCTCGGTGTCAGCTCAGCTCCACTGCTGTCCTTTTTAAACCCCTCCGAATCTGTTCTATCGTATAGGCCAAGGTCACGGCTTTCCATCTCTCCTCATTTTCAGTCAACGTTGTGTGTAAAAACACATCTGTGAAACAAAGGTAAACATATGTAGAGCATATGCATGATTCTTATCAGTGTTTTCTCCTATGGAAAATGGAAACTGAACTGCTTTTAATTCTGAATGTTCCAAGTTTTTCAAACAGATCAACTCTTGTGTATATTTATGGTATTATTTTTTTATTTTTTTATTAGTTAGCTAAAGCAGTGTTATTTTCCTACTATGTAAATAGACATTAAATATTGCCTCTCCTGGGAAAAACATAAAACAGTAAAAGAGTCTCTGAATAACTCTGAGCTGTTTATTTCAAAAATATAAAATTCTTAGACATTAGAGTCTTAAATTTGGTTAAAACCTTAAAGATTTTCTGTCAAACTAAAGGACAAAGGATACAGTTATAAACCACATTAAATATTTGTTATATGGAAACTGATGTAGTCCAGTCTATAAGAGTTTTTCAGCCTTTCGTTGATAACAGTCTGGACAGTGTTTTTAACCTTTGACATGCAACGTCCCAAGTTTGGCATTGCCTCAAAGACCATTCGAGGAGGTATGTATGTGCACCAACATGCACGAAATGGGAATTCTACATTTTCATGTAAATTGGGACATCCCTGTCTTCAGGAAGGGAGCGCGACCTCTAGGGGTCGCCTAGAGGCATTGTAGTGCTAATGTTGAGGTTAACAAATGTAGTGCGCTAAGAGTCCTACAGGTGACACTAAAATATAGACCGTATATAGTTGGTATATGCCGTATATAGAAGGCTGACCTGTAAAATTAGCTTCTACCTTTAACAATTTAAAATGTTAAGTTAAGGTATGTGCTGCTTCTTGATAAAGAGACAGTCCCGCTTTTTTTGTCAAAGGCCAGAGAAATGTGTTTTATTTGACATTTTTTTGTGGAAATGATTTTTAATGGATTTGCTTTGATTAAATTATGGGCACACAAAGAAGGAAGACTTCAACGTTTTAATTTTCTAATCTGGCAGCGCCAACAGCTTCACTTCTGATCAGCGAAGATGAAATACATTGATTTGAGTCTTCATATCTGAACTTTCTTTGGTCCTGAACGCAACTGGCGCTGACGTAATCAAAGCGCGACGCACCTCGGTTTGTGTATCGGCTGTTTAGTCCAAACAGCTGCTCCAGCTGTGTTTGGATTGTGTTTTCCTTCACGTTTGTCTTTATCAAGAGGTAAGACGACAACAACCGATTTACATTTTGTTGTTCTTTTCCTCCCGTCGTTGTCGCTGGACATTTCCGACACAGCTCGCCGTTGAATCCTTTGCTCAGCTGTTAGCTATAGCATTGTAATATCACTCTAATGTATGCGGAATGCGCAATCATTGCGGATGTGGTGCAGAAAATATTGCGCATCGATGCGACATGGAGACGGAGTGACAGAAGACAGAAACACGGAGGTGCCGTGTGACCGTGCTGCTCATCTCGGAGCTCGGTTGTGTTTTGTTATTGTGTTTCATTTGTGGAGTCGACCCTCTGCTTCAGTGATGCTCCTCACTGGAAAAACCACTGCACGGTGAAATGTAGCGCTCACCCTGCTCCAGGTGTTTTTAACTCTCACACCAAAAGATGTAATTACTCGTGGGAATGTTATTAAATGATTCCATGTGAAGGGAGTCAGAAAAGTCCAAGGACTTTATGTAACAAACATAAACACCTGATGTGTCTGTTGGAGACCTGCAGGAATGACTTGGATCATATTAGAAGCTTCTTTAACATTTATTGTAACCTAATGTGAACCTTAATTTTTTTTAATAGCATAATGCAGTGCACTGTAATATTAAAATGTCTGGAGCCGTAGCTTCAGTCATACACTGAACTTCTGTTGATGGAGAAGCAGCTGTCACGATCAGAATTGGCCCCCCAGTCAGTTCTGCTGTAAACCAGGTCTGACCCATGACTGAGTATTACGAGGAGGGGGGGCTGCTGTACGAGCAATCACCTCCCATGCACATCAAAGTGGAGTCTCCAGAGGGACCCTTCGGAGGGGGAGCCTCAGAAAACGGCTTCCCCAGGGAGGATGAGGACTCTGAGGGCAGCTGCGACCAGAACAGTGGATTACCTGGGGGCCTGCCCTTCAACGTGGTAGTGGTCCATCCCAACATCATGGCACCTGGCATGTCCTCAGATGACCTCTTGACCATTGAACAGAGTAAGACCATAAACATGAAAAGTTGATCAATGTGTCTTTACCCGTTTCCCTTGTTTAAATACTCTCCACTTCAGTGTTCAACCTTTTTCTTCACAGACAGAGCGATGTCAGCTGCTCTTGCTGCCGGTGGTGCAGGAAAAAGAAAGAGTCGCTTCAGTGGAGCAGAGTTGGAGGTGTTGGTGTCAGAAGTCACTCGGTGTGAAGGAGAGCTCTTTGGTCCAGCAGGGAGGCTCAGGCGCCGGGAGAGGGAGCGCATCTGGGCAGGAATCCTGGACAGAGTCAACGCGGTGTCCAGAGTCCCACGGACCCTCCGTGAGGTGAAGAAACGCTGGGATGACTTAAAGAGGCGTAACGGTGGAAGGTTGGCAGATGCCCGCCATCGGAGCTGTTACCTGCCACCCAGCAGAGGCACGTCGTTGCTTGGACGTTCTTCACAATCAAACTCCAGGTTTCAGCAGACAAGGCAAAATAATCGACCGAAACCCAGTTTTCCATGTTTTCCTGACCCTGATACAGGTAATTTAAAAAAAGTAGACTTAGTAAGGCTTAAATTATTAGTAAAATGAACAAAACCTGAAACCTGTCTCTATGACTGTGTCCTGAGTCGTAAGTTACATTGATTATAGTAATGTAGTTGTTTTTTCTCAGGTGTTGGTATTGACGGATCAGAGCGAGACGGTCTAGAAAAAGAAGAGGACAATCCTGACCGTGAGAGAGACCTAGGAGAACCAGAGTGTGAATCAGTAGAGAACAGTATGGAGGATAAATTGGGATTAGGACTGGGTCTGGGTATTGGACCACCCCCACCATCAGAACGCTGGCTTCCTCCTTCGCCACTCTACAGTGCTCCTTTCCTAAACGGTAGCCCTCAGCCCAGCAGCCCTCAACCATCACTGGGAGCTCAGCCCGGTCCTCTTGAAGCCCCTCCCCGATGCTCCTGGCTTGAAGATGAGCTGCGAGGGTTAGGGGAAGCAGCCATCCAGCTGGGAGACAGAGTTGAAAAGAGTCTGCAGGAGTTTGGAGAAGGGTTCCGACAGGACATGAGGACACTTGTTGCTTCACAAGAGGCGTTGACAGTCAGTCTACAACAGAACAACTTCCTATTACAGCGGCTATTAGGAGTGCTCGAGAACCAGCAACATCCACAGCAGCAGCAGCAGCATCGAGTACAGCAAGTACACCAGTCACAAACTCCTCAGCAGCATTTACAGGCGCAGCCAGCTGTGCAGCAGCTGCAACATTCTGAACCACAGATGCAGCAGCAGCAGCAGCAGATTGAAACTTTGTCACAGCTTCAGCATCAAACACAGGAGCAGCATGAAGCAGAGCTCATTAATAATCAGTCAGCTTTGACAGTGGAGTCCTTACCTTCGTCCCCTGACCTACGAGGCACTTTTACCGCTGATCCACCCACAGACGCTAACGTAAGTGTGCAGAAGCCACGAAGAGGAAAAGGTGTGGATCACAGGCGCCGGAGAAAGCGCTGAGAAGAGAATAATCAATAACAACAGATCCTGCATATTTAATCTTTCCATATGTGACTACGCAAAATGCTCTTTTTTCTACATACAGTATTTCTGTATTAAAAATATGATTTCATTTCATGATCCCCAACTGATAATCCATCTTGCACTTAAATCAAGTCATTGGAAATGACTAACAAGTAAAATAAATTCTATGGTATTGCCTTGTTTTCTCATATATAAACATGTTGTGCTAAAAAAGACTTTCTGTGCAGCGGAAGCTTCACCGTTACTCACAGTATCCAAACAATAACTCACTGTAGATGCTGATGTTTAAAATGCACGTCACTGTACATGTTTACAGCAGAGCTGCTCCTGGTGCTTTTAACTGGTCAATGCTATCTGAGCTCTCCTGAACTGCTTTGTCATGAAGTACTTGTAATCTGCAGTTGTTACCATATATTATAGTGATACAAGTATTGTAATTACCTGGTAATGTATGCTTGTGTTTTTTCAGCAGCTTCATGGTACAGCATTTGTTCAAAGAATAAAAGTTAGCCTGTACTCAGTTGGATGCAATTTGAGATGATGCATTTTGAAAAACTAAAGATTTTGCTCCAGGCAAAAACAAAAAAAGTAATTGGAATGCGCCCTGTGAGAGCGTTCAGATGTTAATCCCTTACATTTTAGTGGACCTCATAAGCATACTCATGTATGTAGGGGCTATTATAATGATAATCATGCATGTAGTATGAAGGTTGTGTTCGGAGGTAGATGCTAAAAAAGACCTACAGCCATCATCGACATAGTTTTGCACAAGGTACGTTTTGTAGATATCAGCTGTTCCAATGAAACGTAACTTAACTTTAATAAACTCAGACATGGACTGCAGACCAGTTGTGGATTGTCTTTTAGTACAATGTTTCTTAGTATGGGCTGTAGCCCCCTGATGTGGGCCTCAGACTAAGACATCGAAACATATTGTCATTTAGGACCAAGTCCAAATGGAATAATATGATACATACTGTATGTACATATATTATTTTGTATGTATCTATGTACTAACTATCTATTGTCTATGATCAAATCTGAATGATAAAATAATATATTGCTTTAAATCCGAAGAAATCAAGATCATATTAGATGCTATATAACCAAAGTTTCAGCCAGTTATTTTGACCAGGATATTATATTTTATATTGATATTTTATTTCATTTATATATATTAATTTTAGATGTTATTTAAGGATATTTATTTTTTGATGACACAATGTATTCCAGACCAACACTGTGGTCAGTCAAGTTGTTCTGTTGTTAATGAGTGCTTTGAAAAGTTGGTAAAGTTGATTGTTGTTGCGTTGATGAAGTTGTTGAGACTCTCAAAGGTGTTCAAGCTACAAAATCGCAGCAGTGACAAAAGGGAAATTAAACAGTTAAAGGATTGGTTTCGGTAGTAAACCCAGGCTGATGAGTGGAGAAAAATGTTTTATTTTGAAAGCGTTAGTCGGAAACGAGCCTCCCGCGCGTCTGGGTCCTCGGATCTCTGTGCTCCGGACAACGGGGTGCATGGCGGAAACATGGCCGCCGTGGAAACGTCGGAGGCTCCCAAACGACACACAAATCCCGGGGAGGATGTGGAGACATGTGGGGGCAAGATGCAGGCGGTGGAGCCGACGTGTGGGATGAAGCAGAAAGACGAAACAACATGGAATAATAACACTGAGAGCTCCACTCGTGAGCCCAGAGACTGTGTCGGCAGCGATGGCGGGTGTGTTGCCAGACATTCTGGGGCTGGTGCTGAGTCTGGTGCTGAGTCCGGTGCTGAGTCCGGTGCTGGACCCGACAAACCGACATTTGATTCACCAGAGGAGCCAGTGACGGCTGGAAAAATGGCCGAGTTGACTGGCACCGAGCAGCGTGCTTCCAGTGGGTCCTGTGCTAACGAGGCGATATCACAACAGGAGGAAAATGCTAAAGGTGGTATGCTAACATCTATAATGTATTTTTAAGCTTCCAGGCTGGACACTGGCAGTAGCCACAGGCTGATACCCACATTGACGCTTCACTACATGCTGCCAGCAACAGCTCCAATGTTGTATTTAGCTAGAATAGTATCACGCAGGCGGACAGTCTTCGGTGTAGTCCTGGATAATACACATAAAATCAGAGGGTCTACTAGGAGAAGAATACTATGTTTATGTGAAGTGTTTATGGTTGTCCCGATACATTTTTTTATTACGAATTACGAATACCCCTATTTGTATACTTGCCGATACCGATTCTTTTTTTAGTTTGGGTTTCAGTAAATGTGCAATGAAGTGGAGGGCAGTGTAATGTAGGTGGCACATCTCTGTGGGTGATGTGCAGTGTATCGGTGCGAGTTCAGTCCAAGCCTCAGTGAAGACACCAAGCAGATAAATACTAAATACAGATGTGGATATGTTTTATAAACTGAAGACTATTTTTAGCCAAAGTTAACTTCTTTCTTTATTTGCAAAAGTGTAACTTTAAACTGGCATTGTTGTCAAAAACAACATTTTAATAAAACCAAGGCTAGAATAATTTAAAACAATATTAGAAATGACTATATTAAGTGATAAGCTTTCAAATCTAGCTTAATGTAACTTGACATTAACACCTTTGGTGCATTCAAATTACAAATAAATATAATAAACACTGTCTCCTGTTATTCAGTTAGACTTTGTGGCATCCTTTCCATGTTTAAGTAAAAAATTAACACACACAATCTAGTTAACAAAAACTCAACTAAGTGACTTGGTGGTGGTGTCTAGGCGTCATTTGTCCACTGTGAGTTAAGCTACGTCTTCAGGTGTTTAATTGAGTTGTTTGTATCACAGCTGAACAAATCTCTCTCTCTCTTTCTCCGTCATTAGAATACCTCCAAACTGCTGACATTGTTCACCTACTTGAATTAACGACCCATGAGCACATTGAAACACTGGACTGCAGTAGAAACAATAAACACACCAGTGTGCAGTTGGTTTGAACCATTAAAGAGTATCAGGTCACTGGATCGACACTTTTTACGATGTTTGTGTATAAATGAAGTCTGGTTATACCCCAGCTGTTCTTTCTGTTTATTTTATCATTTAAGTCTTAGTAGTTCAAACTTTGCTGGACCTGGTTTCAGACCCCACGTTGTGACTGTAAAAATGATTTGGCAGGAAAAGATGAATGAACTAATATTGCAATAGCGCACTGGACCAGGGCCAGGAAACTCAAGTACATATTTTTGGTTTAAAATCGTGCATTGCTTTATCAATAATTATGAGACTATTTTGTACAATATCATAGTGTAAAAGTACAAATATCTCTCAATCATTATTCTAAATTCTAATTATTCTAAAACACTTTTGTGATAGATCTCAACCGTCCTTCATTTATCTCTGGCTTGTCTTGTCAACAGGCTGTAATAGGTGTGCAGAGAGATTATAAATAGCCACTCTAATATAAGAAAAACAAAAAGATAACAGGGTTTCCCAAAACAGGAAGAAAAATGTTTGGTCTTGGGCTTCTTTCTTCCTGTCTCCTTCTTTCATTTTATGCCTTTCCACAGTTGCCTGACTTTGTAAACAGTCCATTTAAGGATTGGTGTGAGAAAAATGTCTCCCTCTGTGCCCACTTTAGATGAAGTAACGGAGGCCGAAAGCTGCAGCCGTAGCCTCTGTGTAAACAAACGTGCCAGAACTTCAACATTGCCAATGCCAAGTTGGGGAAATGTAAAAATAATCCAATAGCTTTTGCAGCGGACACAGCAGCACGATAACTATGCTTGTATTTAGAGATGATATTTGCTAATACCAGTGGTGGGAGCAGTGGTGGCCTAGTGGTTAAGGAAGCGGACTTGGGCTTCAGGTTCGAGTCCACCAGCTGCCAGGTTACCACTGAGGTGCTCTGAGCAGGGCACCGTCCCCACACACTGCTCTCTGGGCACTTAAAGCTGCTCACTGTTCACTTTGGTTATGGGTTAACAGAGGTGACATTTGGTTGTGTGCAGTGGTGTGCTGTGTCACAATGACAAGGAGTTCACTTTCCTTTCCTTAATGGCAGTGAAAACACACACTCCATTCACTGTTGTTATTGTGCTTCTGTCATCACTAATCTTTTTGTCTGTGCCAAATCAATCCTCTTTTTCTTACTAAAGCAACTCAACTCTCATCATCAAACTCACCAGAGCAGCATTTTTTCCAGCCTTGTTAAGTGCTGTGTAAACCCACAGAGGGTGAGGACTGGGAGGAGTTAGGGAGTGTGGCAAGGATATACTGCAATATCTCTGTCTTTCTCTCTTCCTGGTAAACTCCAAATCCT